GGTGAATATATAATAACTACTTTGTTCATTGTATTTATGTGGTTATGTTTTATCTTGATATTATTTTTAAGCTGCTATCCTATATAACATTCTTTTCAGTTGATACAACATCTACTGACACAGCTGATAAACGTATTATCACATGCATTATGAAGTGGTTGGACGCTCATTTGATGGAGTACCACGAAGGAGGAGTCCTGGTGGTAAGCATCAGAGATGTTGACCTCCGTGGCACGATTACTATGGCGAATAAGAATAATTTCATAACCGTGCTAGTGTATAAATATGAGACTACAAATAAGAATCTTAGAAACAAACCAAATAGAGCAATGCCTTAGTTAGCATTTGTGCTAGGAAATATCATATAGAGCAATTTGTTGGAACATTTGTGCTAGGAAGTATCAGATAGAGCAATCAATTGGAACATTTGTGCTATTTGTGTACTTTTTTCACTAGAAATGGATCCACGCTTTGTGTGGATTTAATAATAATGTAAAACTTTTTTACTAGTATACTATTTAAAAACTATATGTAATTCTATTGGTAAAAACGGTTATATAAATATAATATAAATTTTATAAGTGATAATTGTATAAATTTACACGTCTATTTATAATATGCTACATATATAAAACGTTTTTTTTCTTTTGTATTTGACTTAGTATCCTATGACCGTTCATTATATATATATTTTTTTAGTGCATGAATTCTTATGAATAACATTTTTTTTATATAATTCTAGAAACTCAAATGTGATATTTTAAATGTGGTTTACTTTTTCTAATTTATATCTATTGTATTTAGAAGCAAAAAAAAATAATATACATATATATATATATATATATATATATATATATATATATATATATATATATATACTTTATATCTCATTTTATATATTGGCTTTGTCTTTAGGAATTTAGCTTTCTAAGGCTAATTTTGTCACTCAGTTTCGATATTTTCATATTCTATTATTTTTATTTTTATTTTTTTGTTTCTATCTTATTAAATTCAATGTTGCAATTGTGCTCTTTCTAAATATTTTGATATTTTTAAAATAAACTTTTATATTTTAGTAAGTGCATAATGTTTGTATTACTATCAAATGCGTTTATACATTTACTTATATAAAATTTTATATCATATTTATGATAAGCTAAAAATTAAAAGTATACATAATTATATTTTAGTTTTGTTTTAAATTATTATGCACTATACTATTTAGCTATATTTTAACATTTTGTTTACTGCAATTTACAAACTAAGCAACTATTATTTTAATTAGTAATATGCCATAATATTCATCACTAATTCACTATATAGTTTTTTGAAAACTAAAAATGTATGTCTTTTCAACTTTCATACAATTTTATAATCACCCAACATATTGATTTTTAAGTATTTCATGATTCATTACTATATTGTTTTTTGAAAGCTAATAAATGTATGATCTTTCAACTTTCATACAATTTTCGAAATATCCATCATCTTGATTTTGAATATATCAATTTTAAAACTGAAATATCCATCATATTGATTTTAATATATCAATTTTAAAACGAAAATGTTTATAAAATTTTAAATATGATTAATCTTAAACATTTTCTCGCTAAAATTCATATTATATTATTATGTATAAATTTATATTTCTTTGTTTTTTACTTATAATATTAATTTATTTGTAGTTATCTTAAATATTTTTAATCATAAATAACTATAAATAAAAATAAATATGTATTGAATAAACATTTTAAATAAATTATAATTTTTATTTTTAATTAAATGCATGCTTAGGAGGATGATGATATGGATAGCTTAGATGGAGAGATGACTCTCCTATTCTATATATAGATTTTCTAACGTTTTAGATTTGATGAAAGAGTGTATTATATTAGAGTTTATAAAGGTCTGGGCATAAATACTCGTTATCCGCCTTGTACCCGCTACTCGGTTCATACTCGCCTTGAAAGTTCAAGTACCCGCTATATCCAAGTCGAGTAACAAGTAGATAAATTCTATTACTTGCAAGTAAGGGTCAAATATCAAGTATCTTTTTTTTTTTGATACTTGCCTCGTTACTTGCCCCGTTTTGATACTCGCCCATTACTCACCCTGTTACTCGTCCGTTACTCGCCCCGTTTTGTATTACAACATATAAACTATAAAGCCCAGCAATCAACGTACAACATATAAACTAAAACTATAAAGCCCAACGTTAGTAACAATACAACATATAAAGCCCATTAAATCCAATAACAAAAAAATAATAAAAGAACAATCGAGAAGACTTTAGACAAGTACGATTTTAATTTGAACCAAGTTGTTGTTTTAAAATGCTTATCTTTTGGAACTTTTAATTTATTATGATTCTATGATGTTTTAAACTTTATTGTTTAGTGATTGTATGATATTTAGAATTCTGAATGTTTTGTAATATGTATGAAATTATTTTTATATTTAAATTCTTAAGTTGAAGACTTCAAGTAGCAAGTATCTTGCAAGTAGCCTGAGACGGATCCGGATATCTGTTTTTTTTTTGTATCCAGATCCGGATCCGGAACCGGCGGATTTATGATTTTACTATCCGGATCCGATCCGAAAAACCGGATATCCGGAGTCTCGGATGTCCGTAAAAAAACTCGGATACCCGTAGATATCTGGATCCGAAACAAAAACTAGATCTTAAATTCTGCCACCGTCAAAACATGGCCAACACCGCCTTAGTGATGAACCCGTTGTCGTCCGTGTCATATATTATGTCACGAAGCTTCTCAAACTGCTCCTCTGTGTAACGAACCGTCCTCTTCGTCGACAAAATAAGCTCTGGCGAGACCAAAGCCACACGATATACAATATTCTTCACGATCTCAACCACCGAAATCCTCCACCGTGATCAAAATCTTCCTGATCTGATACAACAAATCCTCGCAGGTGAAGATGAAAGATGGTTAAGAGATGATAGATGAAAGATGGTTAAGAGATTTCAATTACTTGTACGGGACAAGGCGAGTCACAAGTAATTAAAAAATACCAAGTACTTGCCTTGTGGCAAGACCTTAAACTCTAAAGTTTAAGTTTTTTTTCTTGTGAAAAGTCATTGAAAATTCTACAATAAAAGACACTTTTGAATGACTTTTTATATGAAGTGCTCATAAAAATTCTTCTTGTTTACCAATAAAAATTAGGGAAAATTGGATATAAAGGATATCTACCAAAATTTTTGTCCAAATATACCTTATTTTGGTAGATTGGTCAAATAGGTTTTTTAAAAATCAAAACCCAACTTTACCCTCATTTTTTCTCAAAATTAATTCAAAACTGATTTTAAAAAATAAAACTTCCTAATTTATTTACAAAAATTAAATATAAATCTAAAAGATCAAAACCGGTTACACTTACGGGCTCATGTCTCTGGTGAATCCTTATGAGATTGACGTAATGGGCACGGAACAAACCCCTATTTTGATCAAGTTCTTGAGTAGCGAGGCAAGTGGGAGTCCTAAACCTAACACGAAGAAGAACTCATCTCTCTTGTGTGCTTGCTTCACAAGTAACGGTAACATAACGTTTAGGGAGCAAGTTTCAGCGTATGTTTGCTAGGGAACAAGACAAGGGAATTACGTGCTGGTGATTAGAGCTCATGATAGTAGTGGTCGTGATAGTAGAGTGGTAACGCCGCCGTCATCTCTGCTGGTGAATGACGGTGGCGGAGGGAAATTAAGCTGGTGGAAAGTGGCGGTTGGGAGTGTGATTGGTAAATGATTGGAGCGTTTCTGTTACGGTTATTGGTGGTGGCGATGGTAGTGAAAGGGAAGAAGAAAGAGATGAGAGAGGAGATGGAGAGGAGAGCTTATGAAGAAGAAGCAGTTCAAGTTTCAATGGTGGGTCATATTAGAGCTAATCCTAATGCTTCAAGAACAAGAACGGTTCCAAGATTTGACAATACTAGGTACAGTAACAAGTAACAACAAACGTATATTAGGTAGATCGTCCTTCTTGATATAATGTTTTCCATTTTTAGTGTTAATTGAACCTCTCTTTTCTTCTATTTATGTTGGATTGTAAGTTGTAAGATTTCATTATTTAGGAGACATAATATGTGGAATGTATTGAAAATATTGTAACACGGTTTAAGTTGTTTTGGGCTAGTTGGTTAATTACATACATGTATGTTATATGCCATTTTGAAATCGAAAGTGGTGGCTTAGCTTAGGGTTTAGAAACGTTTTGGTTTTAAATTTTTCTAAAAAACGTAGATAACGATTTCTAAATTATGTATATCGTAATCTAAACAATTAATATATCCATATAAAACGTAATCTACAATAAATATTTAGTTTCCTTTTCTGAAAATTTACTTTCTATATTTAGACAAATTCTAAAAATTTCAGAAAACCAAATCTACAATTTCGTAGATTTTACATTCTAAAAGATGATTACAAATTCTAACGATGGCAGAAGATGTAGTAATTAGTAGAATGGATATTCAAAAAGATTTAGAATATAAAGTAAAGCGTAGAATGCATGTTCTAAATATTTTAGATATATGATTTTCGGAATTCTAAAATGTTTAGAACAGAAAAGTAATCTAAAATTCGTAGAACATGTATAAAAATGTAGAATACACACTCTGATTTTTGCAGAACTCTAGAAAATATGTTCTAACAAAATTAGACAAAACTTTATCTATCAAATAATCAACTTTTTTCAATCAAATCTAAAATTTTTCACTTCAAATTATCTATGCTCTTGTATATCTTCCTGTTTTTCTGATTAATTTTTTTAAAAAGTGCTTAAAATAGGGTGTAAGGGTAGTTTGGTCCAAAATGACAGTTTCACCAAAAATGTATATATGGACAAAAATTTTAGTAGACATCATTTTTTTTCCAATTTTCCCATTGAAGTAAAATATGTGCTCATAAAATAATAACATATGATTTAAGTATGTAACACATCCTTAGCATTTTCGCTCTTTTTTAGCTCTAATAATTTTTATAGGAGTGAATAACTTAATTAATATGGTTAGGATTTAATTAGCTAGGACAACTTTTTCAAAAAGAAAATTAACATGCCGAAATCATGTACGTCGTAAATCACCAAAACAGCGAGGATTAGTTGTATCTTACCCTTAAAATGGTTAGAGATTTAATGTAATAGTAACAAACTAGAGTTTACTTGCAATGATCTCAAACACAAAATATACTAAAACGTTTCTTTGATTCCCTATGCAATGAAAAGTGAAGATCTTTATGATTAGCACGGAATTTTCCAAGCTTAACTTTTGACTTTTCTCTCCCTAATCATTCATTAATTATCTCTTCATGTCATTATAAAAAGCACCACGTACGAAATTCTTCTCTTAAAGCTACTCATATCATAGTATACTTTGAGCTTTCTAATCACATAATAAATTTGAAAATGGCGATCCTAACTCCGGTCATAAAACTCGTGGTTTTTAGGCAAAGTCTTCGACCACATTCAGCTATTGCATTCCTCGTTGAGTTCCTTTGCTTCGTCTTAGAATTACTCGACAAGGAGAAAGATCTAGCCAAAATATTCGGTATTGTATGTGCTTGCGACACATTAATCTTCACTTTGCTTGACCTAATCCAAAATCTGCTCGAGGAAGAAGTGAAAATACGGCGATGCGGTCGAGTGTTTTGGCTCTACACAAAGGACGAAAGGCTCTATTGGCACACATTAAACGCGTATCTAGTCATGTTATGCATCGTCCATGTCATCGGTTCTACGATCTCTTACGTTTCTCATAGACATTATCTAGTCTTGCTCCCGCTTTTTGCAGCAGGACTCGAACTCGTCCCACAAGAAGCCTATCGGGTTCTTGGACCGGATCAAGAGTCACAAGACTGTATCGGGCCTCTTAATGACCCATCGTATGGAAAAGATCAAACCCTTCAAGATGATATTGGCCTAAATCAAGAGTCACAAGACTGCATTGCACCTCATCAAGGTCCATTAGCTGATATTGAGCTAGAACAAGAAATGGTTGTTCATGTTGAGCCTCTTCAAGATTCACTAGATGGTATTGAGCTAGAGCAAGAAGTGGCTGTTCATGTTGGGCCTGATCGTGGCCCATAAACTACTAAGGCCTACTTATAGAATAAAAGCTGAAACATTTATATATAGATGGAAAACTATGTTTAATGTAATGTACTTGTGATCGTACGACTTTGGTAGCTACAATGTAAGAGAATCTTTGTTACAAAAAAATGTTATATATTAAAATAAAATCCAATAATCGACTCTTCAATGCTCCGTGGAGTCAGCGAAGGATTTGTGACACGTGTGAAAACGAAGGAAGATTTATAGCCGTCCGATGAAAATGGTTATTATTGTAATTTTGACTCTTTCACGTGTGCCCTTTCCTCACCCCGAAAAATATTTTTATTTCCTTTTTTTTGTTCACTTTTTTTTTAATTTCATTTTCAATAATAATAATATTCGTCGAGTAGAAGAAAGATCCAGACAAAAGCTTAAGCAAAAGACCTATCTGTCTTCGTCTCCGCCATGACTAGCTCTTCATCTCCTTCACGCAAGGTTCTTAGATTCTCCTACACTTTTGTCTCTTTTGTGTATTTGATTCTCCGATTATTGATTTTGATTTTGAGATTTGTGTAGGCGTTAAGCAAGATCGCGTGTAATAGGTTACAAAAGGAGTTATCAGAGTGGCAAGTAAATCCACCGACTGGGTTTAAGCACAGAGTTACTGATAATCTTCAAAAGTAATTTTAATTTTCCAAATCTTGATTATTATTTTTTGATTATTTTTTTGAGATTTTTGATTGTTTTTTTTTGTTTTGTGATTTAAAAGATGGGTAATTGAGGTAACGGGAGCACCTGGTACGCTTTACGCTAATGAAACTTATAATCTTCAGGTTGAGTTTCCTCAACATTACCCTATGGAAGCTCCTCAGGTAAGTCTTTTTTTTTTGGGATTTTTTGATTGAATTTTTTTGTGTTGTTATTTGTCTGAAAATGTTGATTTTGATTAGGGTTTTTGTCCAAATTTCTTGATTGTGGCTTAATTAACTGAAAACATAGTGTTTTAATGGTTTTTTCTTTTTGCATGTTTTAGGTCAGAGATTTTAGTTTTAGAGTTTCTACTTGGTTTTGTGTTTTGTTCTGATTTGTATGTGTTTGGTGTTTGATCAGGTGATTTTTGTTCCACCAGCACCACTACATCCTCATATATACAGCAATGGACATATTTGTTTAGGTAATTTTACATTTTCACTCATTGTTTCTTCATTCTTTACTCTCTGCATATGCTCCTACTTTTGGTTTCTCTGAAATGCTAACTCAAGTCATGTGTGTGTGTGTGTGTGTGTGTAGAGAATCTGTTTTTGTCTGATTAGTCTTATAAGATGCATAAGTCAATCAAAATAGTTTATCTGTAAAACAAGAAAATCAGTTTGATGCTTATATATATAGGTTGTTCTTGTTCATGGACTGTATTGTAGCGAAAAGAGAAGCAATATTAGTTATGCCTAAAATATTATATCAACATTTTTATCAGTCTTAACCTTTTCTCAGTCTGTCTCATAATTAAAGAGTTCCTAATACCAGTGTCGCATAACATGAAATTAGGGTGTGAATGTGCTTTCAACGTCATAAAGAAAACCGATACCGTCCCTTTTGGACTCTATGGTGAATTCTTTAGCAAAATCAGAATATTTTCCAAGAAATTTGTTCTTTTTTCATTGAATCCTTATTCATTTTATGTTTGCTGTTTTCATAAAACAAGAAGAACTTGAATGTCTTATTGCGGGTAAATCAGGTCTAATGAAATTGTGGTGGAACCTGAACTATTACGCCTCATTTTAGGAGAAACTCCAATAAGATCATGCGGGTAAATAACGCACTCTCTTATTCCTTTTTGCAGATATTCTGTATGACTCGTGGTCTCCAGCAATGACAGTGAGTTCAGTCTGCATCAGCATTCTCTCGATGCTATCGAGTTCACCCGAAAAGGTTTTTCCACGTTTTAAACTCCCACACTTAGTATTATCAGAAAGTGAACACCCTTTGACCCAACCACACATCTCTTACTATGTCTTATTTTTGATATCTATCTCAGCAACGCCCGACTGATAATGATCGATATGTGAAGAACTGCAAGAACGGGAGGTCTCCTAAAGAGACAAGGTGGTGGTTCCACGACGACAAGGTATAAAAGGGTGACCTAAAGATGTCTCCTTTCAATTATAAAACACAGACTAAGAGGTTTATATAATTTCCCCAGACTGATATAATACTAATTGAAATTCCTCATGGCCTCCACTTTTATTTCCCTTTTTCCTTTTGTATGGATCATTTTATGTATAAAAGACATCTGAAAATGTTTCAGTGTCTGAAATGAATTAACACACCTTGTGCTTTTGTCCTTTCTGAAGTATCTGTGGAGATTTTAGGCAAAAAAAAATGTGTTTGGCAAATGTATGTTCATATTCAAGTATGAGATGCCAACTCAAGTTGGTGAAGGAGACGGATTTAAGTCTCAATATTAGCCGCCTTAAGAATGTTATGCTAGAGAAGATACATGCTTTAAAGTTCAAACTCTTTTCTTCATCATCATAAGTGCATTTCATCGTTGGATTAAAGAAATACATTAGTTGCATCAATCAAACAATAAAGATTTGAAGAAAACCTCAGCAAATCAGGTGATCTTGAGGTTATCCAAAGCATGCATCGAGGTGTAGAAAATTCTGACAAAACGAAAACGATGTAAACCGAGAAAATTCTGACATAACAACACAATCTCAATAGTAATAGTAACATGAACGAACAATTAGCATAGCTGCGACTTATCGAGTTTGCAACATTTATTCACCACACATAGAGCACAATCAAGGTAAAAGACTCAGGTGAACAAGGATTTATTAAAACACTAAACGTTTTAGCAACATAGGTAGAGAGAAAGCGAATCAAGCTGCAGCAACGCTAGTGTGCTTCTGGAGCTTGGTAAGGATTTCATTTTTGTCAGCACCAACCACGGTATCCTTGACCTCTCCTTCTTTCATGAAGATAATCGTTGGCATTGCCTGGACGTCAAATTCCTTAGCAACAGCCTGCACAACAACATAACAAGCAAGTTAAAAGCTCAGAGGTTACTAGTACTAAGTTTGGATATTTGAATATAGTATTATAGATGATGGAAACTCACGTTCAATTCGTCTACATCGACCTTGAAGAACACCACATCTAGGTGCTTCTTGGCCAACTCAGGAAAGATGGGTGCAATAAAACGGCAAGGTGGGCACCATGTTGCAGTGAAGTCGATCACGATCTGTGTCATTCCAACACAACTAAAATTTAGAAAAAGTACGCACTAATGGTTTATTAAGATAACAAAACGTTTGCTTTTCGTGTGATAACTTCACATTCCTTTGGAAATTGGTACAATTTTCACCTACTTTCAATCTGCACAAAATGACACTAGTGTTGCTGCTGCTTGATTCGCTAATCAACAAAATTCGAAATTTCTATCAAGTTATTCAGGTGAGATCCAGAGTTTCTAGACTTTCAATCGAACTAAATCGATAGATAATACAAACACAGATACAAAACACGTAAACTACGATAACAAATGTGAGAAATGAACGGCGATTTTCAAGTGATCACTAGCAGATGAAGCATCAAACTGAATTTTCATAGTTGAGAAATTCACATAACATGTCATCATCTATGAAATTCGCATGACTTGATACCATTTGTTCCTACTTTATCAACTGAACTTGAAATTTCTATTAATTACTTAGGGTTTCAAACATTCCAATCGAACTATTAGGGTTCATAAATTTCATAAGGAACTCAAAAATTCGATTTCGGGAAAATTCAAAACTAATTCTGAATCCGTCATAACCAAATAAAAATCGATAGCTAACTAATCTAAAATCCTCAAATCAGAAACGGTAAAGCAACGTAATCAATCAAAACTTAAAAACCCTAAATCCTGAATTTCAATAACGAAATCGAAATCGAGAGTTTTACCAGTTTCTTGGATTCGTTGGCGGCTTTGAGCTTCTCAGTCCATTCTTCGACGGTGTGGCAAGCGATAACTTCTCCTTCTGCGGCCATTTTTGTTTCTTCTCTGTGTTTGAGATTTGATTTTGATGAGTTTTTGAGTGATTTGATTTCTTCTTCGTCTCTGTGTCGATTCTTATAAAGGAGGCGGAGAGAATCTTACTTCTTTTTTATTATTTTTATGACTTTTTCTTATAATAATAATACTCTAAAATTGTCAAACAAAAAAAGAATAATACAAAATGGACCCATACGCGGAGGAATTCGATGCGGGATTTGGAGATCTAACGGTTGAGATTGAAGAATCACAAGTCGGACTCAGCATCTGAGGACGCGTGTTATGTACGCTCATTGAAAAATAGAAGAATTTGTTAGACTTGGTATATTAGTTTTTGCCTTTTTGGGTTTTTGTCAAAAAGGTTAAGAGGATTAGAGGAATGAGTTGATTTTTTTGTATTCTTATTCTTTGTTTGTGACATTGAATATTATTGGTAATCCTATAATTTTTATTTGAGAAACAAAATAGGAAAAGAATCTCTAATTTGTAGAAAGTTTAAATATTGCATAATGTTAATAGGAAATATTTTCAAGTTTATCATATGAGATTATGTTAATTTTTATATCTCTTGAGATTTTTGATCATGTGGATTTTAAACACAAGTTATTGGGCTTTTGTTTAAGTATAAAGCCCATGTTGTGTCAAAGAAATGGATTGTTTTATACTTCCACCAATTTACTAGTTAGTGGAAATAATCTTATACAAAATTTAAGAACAAAAGAGAAATAGATTAATGAAGAGAGAAAGAAGAGGGTTTATATGATTGGAGCAGATTGAGCCTTATGGTTATTGCCCTTAAACATCCATGTCTTTATTGAATGGATTTTGTTGTGGAGACAAGAGAGTTTTAGTGGAACAAGCGAGCCAAGTATCTCGTTGAAATGAGCAGATTAATGTGGAGTTTTACATATCAAGGTGGAGCTGACATGGAAAAACAAAGAGACATCTTAAGGGAAAATACCCATAGAGCAATGACACCCTACCATGACAATTTGTCCAGACTACAGCGAGTTAAATCATTATCACAACATTCATATATACTTGTTTCTTTCAATGGGATGTCTACCATTCCACAAAAGTTTTGCACAACATGGAATGTTCTTCGCGATGATTCTGGCCAACAGCAACCGCGTTTTTTCTCCTGAGTAAATACAATCTCGTTGAAGTCTATTATTAGTCGAAATATGGATCTGTAAAAACTGACGGAGATCAATTTTTTCAAATTTTTTTATATGTTTTTGAAGTGGATCACCACAATACCCCAAAAAAAAACAAAAAAAAAACAAATTCATTCTCCTTCCATCTATTTTTTGCATCTATAAAGCAACTATGAGAGGTGATTATCTTTACTTCAATTGTGTATCTCCATAGTAGAGCTTAAACTCCTCTAATACCAATATGTTCAATTATGTGTAATTTGCGGAAGAAATCGATTTGTCGGTAAGCTAGCAAATGAGACAAAGACGACATGTAAAAAGCACTTTAGTTCTTAGTACATGTTTAAACCAAAGAATCCGAATCCAAGCCGGATCCCAATGCGAGACCCGGTTTTCTACTCCGGGGTAGGTAAACTCTATAATTACCACCTTCTTTGTAACTAGAGTGTGGTTCTTTTCCATTTTAACTTCTTAGAGCACTTTTAAAACATTTTGTCTTTCATTGCGCACGAGATTTAGGCTCACAAGTTTTTCAACCACTTCTCGGTCATACTTCTAACCTTCCATTCAGTTTTTTCGAGCACTTCCGATTGTTTCTTTCTTAAAACACTAATTTTTTATACATTTTAAATTGCTCTCTAAACCCTCAAACACGCCGTGTATCAACTTTTTATGATCCAGTTACTCGGTATCATGATAACTATGGTCTTTATTATCATCGTAAAATTCCTCATCATCGTGTTTTTTCAAACTTGAATTTGTTTATTGTTTGTGTAGGAGACTTACCCAATAATTAAACTCTCAAAAAAAAAAAAAAAAATCCTAAACAATAACTAGATTATACCGCAGGACGATTTGTTTTTAAATTTTAATAGTTATATATTATATAAAAATTTTTGCAAATTGTATCATTTTATAAGACATTTATATTTTATAGTTTAAAATTGTTATTAAATAATGGTATACCACAATACAAATTTTGTTTTATACAATTTACTTTAATCAGGATCATTTGATATTTCTAATATTGGTGGTGTTAAAAAAGTAATAAAATGAAGATTTAACTGTATTGAAGCAGCGGGTTAATGATGCTTTTAATTTTTTTGATTCAAACTTGTCCCGTCATATAACCATATCCTGCAATATAACCGTCTCATGTTATTTTAATTCTTTATATATGTTCAAATGTTCTTATATTATAATTTTTTTATTGATTTTAAATATATGAATTATAATGTTTAAAACTTCTTAAAAATTTGTCCCGTTATATAACCTTGTCTACCAATATCACCCGTTTTGTGTTTTTGTAACTCTTTATATATGTTCAGATGTTCATTATATTATAAATTTTTTTATTGATTTTAAATATATAAATTATATTATTTAAAACTTTTTAAGAGTTTAAAATTTAACATTTCCGGTAAAATTAAACAGTTAAACTATAAAACTGAATGAAACGGTATATAATTTTAAATTTGGATGCTTATTAAGTTGATCTTCTTGTTCATTCGGATTTTGATTCATTTTGATCTTATTTATAATAGGATTCTGAATCAATATCTAAACATTCTATCCGATATGGCACTAGAAGAAAAATGAGAATCCTTAGCGGCCAAATAAACGCTATTTAACGAGATGATAGCGAAGTAGAAAACGCTATATCTGCGCCCATGATAATAGGTCGACGGCTTCCGATAGCGTTTTTTTGTGGTGCTATATTTTGTTAATATACTATAGCGTGTTTTCGTGTGCAATATTATATGATTTAATAGCAAGTATATTTTGTTATTAATTATCTAATTACAGCGTTTAATTACTCTTATTTTTAATATTTTAAAAGCAGGTTTAGCACGCAATATATTCAAATGAAATAGCATTTGTGTTATGCAATTAACTAAATTAAAAATAATATTTTTAATTCCAATAATCAATTCATAATAAATAGAAAACCAAATCTTTTTATTGATATAAATTTTAACATAAAAATTCAATGAAACAAGAACAAACCACGTTAAAGGAAAAACAAAATACAAAGCAAGCAAGATCGGATTCTTGATATGAGCCTACTTAATATTCTTCTTAGGCTTCTACTACAAATGAGATAACAACAAAATCATGGTTGTTATGATTTTCCACACTCTTGGACCTCTAATCTTCGAAACTTCTTTGACATCATCAACATATTCAGCTTCAACCTGCAACAAACTAACACTTCAATGTTAATCCTACTGTCTATAGAAAAATCAAACCTCTTTGGTTGCTCCAACAACACATTCACATTCAGGTCATCTCCCCAAAAATACGAATTCCATGTGTGAACCTGTGATATCACACATTTAGTCAAATATTGTATTACCAAAGCCCCCACGAAGCCACCTATCCAAAGTAACATTTTTTTTACTATAATTAGTTATACTGAAATCTATAAAGTAAAGGTGAGTATCAGAGAGTACAACACACCTCATACTTGTATCTTGCTCCGGATTGCATATCAGTCTCAACTACAAAAACACATAAAGAACAAAGAAGCATTAACAATCTGAATTTAATAGTCTCAAATAGCAATTGAAACAAGAGAAGAAAATTATTCAAGCAAGAGAAGAAAATTATTCAAGTTATTCAACAAAGTTACTGATAAAAAATAACTCTTCTTATTTTTTAATCAAGATTCACTATGTTTATGTTGACTCTAATAACAATTTCTTTACTCAGAAAGCTAGCAAATGAGACAAGGACGACATGTAAAAAGCACTCGAGTTCTTATCTACCCCGGTTTTCTACTCCGGGGTAGGTAAACTCTATAATTACCACCTTCTTTGTAACTAGAGTGTGGTTCTTTTCCATTTTAACTTCTTAGAGCACTTTTAAAACATTTTGTCTTTCATTGCGCACGAGATTTAGGCTCACAAGCTTTTCAACCACTTCTAGGTCATACTTTTAACCTTCCATTCAGTTTTTTCGAGCCTTCCGATCGTTTCTTTCTTAAAACACTAATTTTTTATACATTTTAAATTGCTCTCTAAACCCTCAAACACACCGTGTATCAACTTTTTATGATCCAGTTACTCGGTATCATGATAACTATGGTCTTTATTATCATCGTAAAATTCCTCATCATCGTGTTTTTTCAAACTTGAATTTGTTTATTGTTTGTGTAGGAGACTTACCCAATAATTAAACTCTCAAAAAAAAAAAAAAATTCTAAACAATAACTAGATTATACCGCAGGACGATTTGTTTTTAAAATTTAATAGTTATATATTATATATAAAAATTTGCAAATTGTATCATTTTATAAGACATTTATATTTTATAGTTTAAAATTGTTATTAAATAATGATATACCACAATACAAATTTTGTTTTATACAATTTAGTTTAATCAGGTTCATTCGATATGTCTAATATTGGTGGTGTTAAAAATGTAATAAAATGAAGATTTAACTGTATTGAAGCAGCGGCTTAATGATGCTATAAATTTTTTTGATTCAAACTTGTCCCGTCATATAACCATATCCTGCAATATAACCGTCTCATGTTATTTTAATTCTTTATATATGTTCAAATGTTCTTATATTATAAATTTTTTATTGATTTTAAATATATGAATTATAATGTTTAAAACTTCTTAAAAATTTGTCCCGTTATATAACCTTGTCTACCAATATCACCCGTTTTGTGTTTTTGTAACTCTTTATATATGTTCAGATGTTCATTATATTATAAATTTTTTATTGATTTTAAATATATAAATTATATTATTTCAAACTTTTTAAGAGTTTAAAATTTAACATTTCCGGTAAAATTAAACAATTAAACTATAAAACTGAATGAAACGGTATATAATTTTAAATTTGGATGCTTATTAAGTTGATCTTCTTGTTCATTCGGATTTTGATTCATTTTGATCTTATTTATAATAGGATTCTGAATCAATATCTAAACATTCTATCCGATATGGCACGTTGAACATACACCTTTTTCATCAATTGAGTAATATATATCCGTTTTAAAAATTTCGAATTCCAATATATATGCAGAAAAAAAATTGATTTTTTTTTAAACTCTATGTGTTATATGACGATTCAAAACAGTTAAAATGTTCAAACAAAGATGATAGGAGAATTGTATTTCTAAATCTTAACCAAATCTTCTAAATTTTGAGGAGTTTCGACTAGAAATCCTTCAAAAACATATGGAAAATAAAAGTTATTTGGAAAACGATATTTTGTTGTTGTTGGTGAAACCATTGAAATGATTGTGAATAATGAAAAAATAAGTTTAATATAATTGTTCGTCCTTAAATTATTATTTTCTCCTTATTTATTTATCGCTAACAATAATATTGTATGAAGATAACCAAACATACATATAATCGTTTAATGAATCTATATGTGTTTATTATCCTTTTTGTATTACCTGAAATAAAGATTGATTACTTTAGGGATTAGAGATTATGTATAATTACTTTTAATGTGTAACGGAACAGCTGCTAGAGATGAGAGACTGTGGTCTTTCAGATAACTTATTGTTAGTTTAAATGCTCAACAATATTCTTAGTACTTTTATTGTTTCCTTTAAAGATTAATTTTTTTTTTGTTTGGAAAGCTTTGCTTTTCTAGAGTTATAGGCTCACATGTATAACTTCATTTTCACTGTCGTCGTCTTTTTTCTTCCGTTTGTTGGATACAATAGCTTTATACATTTTTTTTTTAATCCCTTTTTGATTCAATCAACAAAAATTAGATATTAAAATTCAAAGGATTTAATGTGTTTTTTTCATCCATTTTTGAAAGTAGGGCATTTTGTAAACATTTTTCAAATTTTTATTGAAATAAAATTTATTGTTTAACAAAAAAAATTATTTACAATAATGAATCAAGAGTGTGGAAAGTTTGTTCAAAAGGATAAGACATCTCGTAACTTTATTTAATCTCTTTACTAACAACATAATTATTACAAGTGATCATCATCTTTTGTATAACAAAATTATAATATTAAGACTTGTGACTAAATTAGACCAGATTCAAACACTTGAACTCAATGGATTTTAATTTTTTGCAATATGAATTATTTTCAAGTTATAAGATAATAACAAATATTTAGAAGTTATCTTTACGGTACGGGCCTAACTGGGTCGGATGGACGGGCCGGCCCGTTTGGATATCTATTTGCCGTTTAGTTTATAACATCTATAAAGTAAACGGCCCAAATTACATTGTATTTATGAATTACCACAAATTTCTAGTATCTATGCTTAATACTTTTTTTCTTTTGGGTTATTAGCATATATGCTAGTTTTTGTGCCCTTTTAAGTAATTTGCAAAAAGCCCCCCTCCGTTCACCGGCACAGAAAATCTCGTCCGCGTTTGATTTTTTTTAATATAAAGAAAAAGAGAAACACAAAAAAAAAAAAAAAAAAAAAAGCGAGAGAAAGAAATCAAAGGTTTCTTAGGGTTTCAATCGAAGCGGGAGAGAAAAAAACCCAGAGAAATCTCCGAAAGAGAAGCCATGGATGAAGCTTTGACGAACGCTTCTGCAATCGGTGACCAACGCCAGAAAATCGAACAGTACAAACTCATCCTCTCCTCTGTTCTTTCTTCCAACGATCTTCTCCAAGCGCAGAGATTCATCGATCACAGTAATTTCTCTCTTTCTCTTGTATTCAACTTCATAAGAGATTCCACAACTGCTTTTTGTTCTTTTCGAATTCGTTGTATATCAGAATTTCTGGTCCGATTTTGATTTTGTTTCGAAAATTTTCCAGTTCTTTCCGATGATGTCCCGTTGGTGGTTTCGAGGCAGCTTTTGCAATCGTTCTCACAAGAGCTTGGGAGATTAGAACCGGAGACGCAGAAGGAGGTTGCTCAGTTTACTTTAACCCAGATTCAGCCTAGAGGTGTTTCCTTTGAGGAACAGGTTTGTTTTCTCTTTCGTTACAACCTAAACCCTATCACTTTGCTGTTTAGTAGTTCAATTTTCTAAACCCTATTTAGTCTATCTACTTGGTTTTAAGTCGAGAAGTGTGTAGAGACGCTTGCTATTGTATCTCGTTGATGTTTGAAATCTACTCTGAAAGCTACTTTGAGATGTTTATGTACTAAGGATGCTATTTTTTGGGATAACTGAGACAATGTACTTTACAATCACTGTGTTGTAAGAGATTAAACTGTTTTTGGTGTATTTGCAGGCACTTATTATCAGAGAAAAACTTGCCGGTTTGTATGAATCGGAGCAGGAATGGTCTAAAGCGGCGGAGATGTTGAGTGGCATTGATTTGGATTCTCCAATGAGGTGTGTTGCAGAGAACAGAATTTTCTTTTAGTTTTCTCTTTATGTTCTTTTGTGTTGCTTATTTTGGATTTGTGGTATTCTTTATTAGGGCCGTTGACGACAATTTCAAGCTTTCAAAGTGTATCCAAATTGCTCGTTTGTATCTCGAGGTTTGTCTTTCCCTTCCATGTACATATGCTCAATAGATTGTGTCCTTTTCATTAATTATAAGCATGTAAATCGGTTATCTCTATTTATGAGATGGATATCCGCATCGCAGTAATGGTTTATAGCTAATTGGTCTTATTTCCTTCTGTGGCTGCTCTTCTATACAGTTACAGAAGTTAGATCTTAAAAGCTCAATAACTTCAAATATTTGGACATTTTTCTAGAGAGATTTTATTTAAACTCAACTAGTCTCTTGTCAGATCTAAGTGTCATGAAACTAGGAATCTTGATTGTGTTAAGAGCATTATTCTGTTTCACAATATCACTTGTTTTTTTATTGCTTTTGGAGAGTAAATTGAGACTACCAGAGTTGTTTAAGTACAGTTAGTTATTTTTTTTTATTGTTCTCTAATACTTTTGTGTTTTGAAAATCTGCAGGATGATGATGCTGTAAAAGCAGAGGCTTTCATAAATAAAGCTTCTTTCTTAGTGAGCAGTAGTCAGAATGAAGTTTTGAATTTGCAGTACAAGGTTGGACCGCTTTAAACTAAGAATAAATGTGCTGGGTGATTAAGGAGCACTCGTTTTGAAGTTTTAATATATTTCTGTTTCAGGTCTGTTATGCTAGAATTTTGGATATGAAACGAAAGTTTTTAGAAGCTGCACTTCGGTATTACGGCATATCTCAGATTGAGAAACGCCAAATAGGGGATGAGTAAGTGAACTGACTTATCTTTCTGCTACATTTTTTTTTGTTTAATATTTCTCTGTTGCTTTCCTGTTCGAATGGAATAACGGGTAATTAATCTTCTATCCATCTTTGGAGACTCTTTATTAAAACTTAGTTTCCTACTTTTTAACCCCTCACTGTGCGATTGAATAGTCTTCCTCTTTTCTCTCTCCAATACGTTTTGTAATATCTCGTTATTCTGAAACGGTTCTAATGTTTTTCTAATATTTTCAGAGAGATTGATGAGAATGCTTTAGAGCAAGCCCTATCCGCTGCTGTCACATGTACCATATTAGCTGGAGCCGGTCCTCAGCGATCTCGTGTCCTTGCAACTTTATACAAAGTGATTCCCTTTGGATTATTAAAAATGCTATTTCTTACTTGCTTATTTATCGTTTTTTATTTATTGCTCAATATGTTTCTATTAACAGGATGAGCGTTGCTCCAAGCTGAAGATTTATCCTATCCTGCAGAAGGTTCTATCTCTTATTACCTAAATTGCTTCCTCTAGTAGTATTGTTTGAACTCACATATTACTCCTGTTTAAGTCTGCAGGATGTTTATTATGATTTGATTTATAAACAAATCAAAACAATTTCACCATAGCCTATAGAAGCTTGGTCGGAACTGCATACTGACTTTAATTTTTATGTAACTTTCTAGGTGTATCTGGAAAGAATTTTAAGGAGACCAGAGATTGATGCTTTTTCAGAAGAACTAAGGCCACATCAGGTTTGTACTGTTATAAAGATTTTGATGTAGTGTTTGGATATCATCTGTGTTGGTAGGTAGGTCCATAACAAGTTCTTACCTTGTTGATTTTCAACAGAAAGCATCTTTGCCTGACAAATCCACTGTTCTTGACCGTGCTATGATTGAGCATAACCTTCTAAGTGCAAGCAAACTCTACACAAACATAAGGTATGAGATGTAGAATTAGTATCTTCTTTGCGTTTCTTGTTTGATTTTCTCAACTGTTTTGTACCTTAGGTTTGATGAGTTGGGAACTCTGCTGGGGATTGATCCAAGAAAGGCGGAGAAGATAGCAGCTAATATGATTGGGCAAGACAGAATGAGGGGTTCCATAGATCAGGTACGCAAGAAAAAATACTTTGTTGGTTGAGCTATGCAAGAGCCCTGAAGAGAATTCTTGTTAGTGTTGATTTTCAAGAAGATTCTTTGACGTGTTTTAATATGTTATGTTACTGTTTCAGGAGGAGGCTGTGATACATTTTGAGGATGACATTGAGGAACTACAACAATGGGATCAACAGGTTCTCTCTCTCTCCCTCCCTTTAGAGCAGCTATATATTTTTGGGTCTATTTTTTACTGAAATGTGGAAGTTGTGCAGATATCGGGATTATGCCAAGCTCTCAATGACATTCTGGATGGGATGGCCAAGAAAGGCTTGCCTGTTCCTGTCTGATTGATTCCAAGCTGTGAGACCGACTCATGATGATTAATTTGTATTAGCCGAGCAACGGATCGAGTCTCATGCCTAAGTTTTTGCCAAATTGCTGTGTTTTGGGGATAGTTATTTTCACCTCATTTACTTTCCTGCAAATTCATGTCTATTTCTTTAGGTTAATTGATACAGAGGAAAAGATTAGGCATTGAATGAGGATTTTATGAAAGTTAAAGAGTTTCAGGGTACATTTTTACCTCAGAACAGATTATTTTATGCATAGATGAAGCTTTCTGGTTCAAGAAAATGATGAAATTAGTAGTTACATAACATTTCTCCGTTCGTTGTTTAATATGTGATTTATTAATTCTTGAACGATAAAAATTTAAAGCAAAGTTAAGAAATAATCATCATGATAACTGACGAAGAACTGCTAGTTATAATAATGAGAAACTGTTGCAACAAAATTTCGGAAGATTTGGAAGAACCGACTAGTTAAATGAGTTGCAACACCAAACAATTGAAGTGACACTTAGCTAAGTAGTGTATAGTGGAGACTACATTTCAAGGTTCCATGTAGTTTCTGCAGTCAATTTCGGCGTTTTCACTTCATCCGCAAGATTCACAGACGCACATACCTGTTAAAACAAGAAGATAAAGCCCATCAACCACCAAAACACATGCAATTTTCTAAGTCCATAAAAAGCTTCACGACATAGTTGTTGCTCAAAAGAAAGCAAATTCAATGTCCAAATATGATTGCCAATACACAGAGCAATCTAAAACAGTTGATTATGATGCAACAAAGAAATACATGAACCATTGTACCCAAAGATCAAGCCTTATTGTCAAGAAGCTACGCATCCCATGAAGGAAACAGTTTCATCTATCAAATTAATTGTACTAACTTTATTGTATGTTTAAGTACTGATCACGATTTATCTTTAAAGAACTACGATTGCCATCAAAATATAATAACCGATATCGACTTTCGACTGTAAATGTTCTTTTTTACCTTGATTCCACTTGCTTTGTTGTTCCTTGACCATTCCATACCCAGCAACTTACTAGATGTCTGATAAGTTGCCCTGACATTATCACCACTATAAAATCTTCGAGAAACCGCAAAATCCCATGTATTCTTCGCCAAGTCATAGCACGGCTCAAACGTAGCTAACCCTCCATGTGCATAGGTATACTTAAGCTTACAGTTGTTCGTCCCCACCATGTGGTTAGCAGAGAGTTTGTTTGCAGAATCAATCACAAGGCTCCCATCAACAATTGTTCGGTTATCAGCTCTGCTATGAATGTAAGTCAAGTTCAAAGGCTTCTCCGCAATTCTTACCGTGTTCATGAACTGAAACCTAACATCCTGTAAACCAACAACACCAACAACATAGTTCTACTTCAATTCTCCTGAACTTGCGGAGAATTCAAAAACCCTAAATCCTACTTCAATTAAAGCATTCGCTGCGAATTCAAAAACATTTTTGCCTCATTTTTTCAGAAATTAAACTTATTTGAAATATTCTAGGTTTAATCGTAAGCAATCAATCTCATTTCCATGGAAATTGAAAATTAGGAGTTTCTAAGATTTTCTGATTTGACTCAAATCAAAAGAGGAGAAGCAAAGAGTTGTGTGACCTTCTTAGGGACGTTGAACTCGATCATGAAGGAACCAGGCTTCTCGACGGCGAGAGAGAGACCGGTCAAAGTAGGACCGGCGACGAGAGTAGCATCGGTCATGGTGGCGCGTAGCTTAATATCGCCGGCGTTGAAAGCAAGTGAACCGATTCCGCTGGTTTTGTCAGCATCGTACTTGCCTTTGAGAGAAGCCTTCATCGCCATTTTCGCAGAGTAGAGAGAGAGAGAGAGAGAGAGCAGAGGTTTGGTGAGAGCGGCGAAAGTAGACGATAAAAGCACACGGTGTTATTATTCTCCGTTGCGTGTTCTTCGTTCGCACGTGCGAGTTAGCACATGTGTAGATTGGCACGTGTGCGAATTGCCTCTTTTGTTTTTGGTTTTAAAACCTTTCCTTTGGTTCAAAAGGTTTTAAACATTTGATTTGATTCTATTTACGTGGTTGTGGTTTTGATCCCACCTCCAATTGTTGATATTCGAATCACACGATAGAATTTATGTAGTTTAGATGGACTTTGTTTAGTAAATACATGTTTAAGGTTTAAAAGACGAGCTGAGCAAACAACTAATCGGTTTCGTTCTTCCTTTGTTTTACCCTTGTTTTGCAGTGTTCTTTTGTAGTGTCGTACGTTGTAGATTTCGGTCTTCCCTCTTTCTTTGTTGAGTCTCTGTATTCTGTAAAAATTTGAAAATTGGTATAAAATCTTCACATGTTTACCAAAAAAAAAAAAAAACTAAATCGGTTTCGTTCGAACAAAGATGTGATAGCAACGAAGAGAATGTTTGGTCAAAAAGGGGTCCTACTATGTGTTTAACGACTAAATCTATTTCTGAAAACGAGCTTTAGGGAAAATTTTATACAGACTAGATGACGAGTATTTTCTGTGTATGTGTTAGCATAAAATCTGGAATCTTTTCTCAACAGTTTATTTTTGTTTCTATAGAAGAAATAGCCGGTCACGAGGTTGGTAATTTCTCTCTTTTGCCTTTTGCAAGTGGACGATGTTTATCGGGCTTAGATGACATGATGGTACGAGCCCAGACTCTTTTTTTCTAGGCCTAATTGGATTTGGGCCAGACTTTTGGATGACGAGATGACGTGTATTCTCTGCGTGTTAGCGTGAAATTCGGATCCTTTATGTTTTCCCGTGTTTATATCCTTATTTAATAAATCACAAGTCACTTCTCTAATAACTGCACCCTTATCCTTCAACCACGTGTCTTAAGTCTGTACTTTCACTTTTTTCTTTTTTTTTTACACTAATTTACTATTAAAATCAAAATTGACTTTTCCCCATCACCCCTCCCCCCACCACCACCCACGATCTCTTGCTTCCCCTACAAAAAAAAAAAAACTTCCACATCCTTTTTTTTTTTAAATTATGTTTTCCTGCAACTTTTCTCGAAATAAAATTTTTTAAAAAATTTCAAAGATTTTGTTTCCTTCTAATTTACACAATAACTAGGTTTCTCATCCCGACTATGAAATTAGTTTTCTTTTTTCCTTGCAATATATCTTCAATAGAGAAACTAATGCTATTTTCGCCCGTGCACAGCACGGGTCAAACACTAGTGGGAAATAAGCGGTCACAAGGCCGTATAATTTACCTCTTTTGCCCTTTGCAAGTGGGTGATGCTTAATAGACCAAGATATCACGATGGACCGAACCCAAACTCTTTTTTTTGTGGGCTTAATTCGATTCTCGAAATAAAATTTTTTAAAAATTTTCAAAGATTTTGTTTCCTTCTAATTTACACAATAACTAGGTTTCTCATCCCGACTATGAAATTAGTTTTCTTTTACCTTGCAATATATCTTCAATAGAGAAACTAATGCTATTTTCGCCCGTGGAGAGCACGGGTCAAACACTAGTGGGAAATAAGCGGTCACAAGGCCGTATAATTTACCTCTTTTGCCCTTTGCAAGTGGGTGATGCTTAATAGACCAAGATATCACGATGGACCGAGCCCAAACTCTTTTTTTTGTGGGCTTAATTTGATTTGGGTCAGACTTTTGGATGGGGCGAAACCCATGTCGAAACAGTAAGTATCCCCCTCCTTTTGTTTAGTTGGACAATCCAGCTCGTCAGCTTGGCACAAATTTGAGTTTGGCCATTTGGAGGGAATTTTGAAAAGCTGGATGTTTCACCATTTTGGGTTATTTGTTTATATAATTTTTAACTAATATGCAATTTTATATGATATGTTTCTAAATATACTATTATATAATAGCGCTATTGTTTAGTTATAATAGTTGATATTTTAACATATATCTATTAACAAAACTATATCTGATATTCTAAAACCATTTATTTTCTCTTGTGGATTAAATATCAGCATATAAAAACTTTTAAAACCTTGGAATAAACTGTATGTCGAATACACTTTTACTAACATTTATTAGTCATTTAAATTAAAAGTATTGTGAGAAAAATGATTTTTTATATAAATAAAATAATAGTTTTCATATACAATATGAGTTAGGCTTTTAAAATTTTCATAATTAATTATATTTATACTAATAAATAGTTAGTCCTTTTAATTTATTTGGCTTAAAACTATATATGTCAATTTGAACCTCATACTCATTAATAATTTGGTTTAGGATATCGAAATAAGATAAAATTAATCATCTGTTTCTTATATTGAATTGGTTATCGTTACTTGTATTTAGTTTTTTTTGTTATATTTGAAACGTTGATAGAAACCATTAACTTTAAGTTTTGTAGTATTTTTTTTTGTCAAAATTTTTAATTGCCATTAAATATTACGTTAACTTTCTAGTTTTTTTATAGTTACGTTTTAATTTCAATGACCTATATATAGGTTAGATAATTTCATGTTTCAAATGACAAATACAAATCATTGTTTCTTACATTTGTTTTTCATAAAATAAGAATAATTCTTGTATATTTTAAGCGTAAGTAGATATGTCTAAATTTAGCTCTCAGATTACTACGCTATTCATCGTTGTAGCTTTGGTGTGTGCGTTTGTTCCGGTTTTCTCAGTCGAAGAAGCTGAAGCAAAATCATTATGGAATACTTGTCTTGTTAAACTCACTCCTAAGTGTGCGTTGGATATAATCGCTGTTGTCTTTGAAAATGGAACCATCTCTGATCCTTGTTGCAACGATCTCGTCAAAGAAGGGAAAATGTGTCACGAAACACTTATTAAATATATTGCAGATAAACCCATGTTAATTGCCCACGAAACAGAATACTTGAAGAAGAGTGATGACTTGTGGAATCATTGTGTCTCAATCTCCAAAAGTACTTGAACTTTGTATTGTTTGTACTATATTTACTGAATAAATTGAGATTTCTCTGTTGTTAGATTTCTCTTACCACAAACATTTATATTTTCACTTTACTACAATATTCACTAAAGGGAATTCTCTCTGAAAAAGAAGAACTTAAATTTATTATTTTCTATTTGAACTTTAAAACAAAGTTTTCTATTAGGAATCGAATAATAATATAAAAATTTAAATATTAAGAGTAGCTCTAAATATTATTGAGTGAATTTTAAATTTTGTATTTGTTTTTTAGAGTAATATGTTTTGGATAATTCAAAAACGTTTACCATTTTTTCCTCAAAGCATTTATAGAACATAATTTTTATAAACTCAAAAACAATTAATATACATTATCTTTAGTCTTTAATTCAATAACTATATATCAAGACCTCATAAAAATAACCAAAACGTTTTCACGGAGATTTTTAATTCGACTTTCAATTTGAATAAGATATATATTAAATCCTTTGATTTTACAAATATTCATAGCAAAAATATGCATTTCCCAATGGATCTGTTAGTTCACATGTATCTTAATTAGTGTAAAATCATATAAAATTATTAGTGATAAAAGCTAGTAGTGATAAAAACTAGTTAGAAATTTATAAAACCTCCTTTACCATTCAACTTGAATCTTTCGTTAATATATAAATTTAAAACAATTGATTAGATTCTACGTAGTGGTATATATTCTTAACATATCATAACAATTAGATCCTAATTATCATGTATCTTTTGATATGTTAGGATTCATTTGTTTTGAAAAGATGGATGTTTCACCATTTTGGGTTATTTGTTTCTATAATTTTTTACCGATATGCAATTTTAAATGATATGTTTTTAAATATACTATTATATAATAGCTATTGTTTAGTTATAATAGTTGATTCTTTAACATATATCTATTAACAAAACTATATCTGATATTCTAAAACTATTTATTTGCTCTTGTGGATCTCATATAAGCAAATAATTAAAAACTTTGAAAACCTTCGAATAAATTGTATGTCGAATACACTTTTATTAACATTTATTAGTCATTTAGATTAAAAGTATTGGGAAAAATTGATTTTTTATATAAATAAAATAATAGTTTTCAGATACAATATGATTTAAGCTTTTAAAAATTTCATAATTAATAATATTTATACTTATAAATAGTTAGTCCTTTAATTTATTTAGCTTAAAACTGTATATGTCAATTTGAACCTCATACTCATTAATAATTTGGTTTAGGATATCGAAATAAGATAAAATTAATCATCTGTTTCTTATATTGAATTGGATATCGTTACTTGTATTTAGTTTTTTTTTGTTATATTTGAAACGTTGATAGAAACCATTAACTTTATGTTTTGTAGTATGTTTTGGGATACAATATGCGAGAATCCTCAAAGAACAACAGAAAGAGCGATGACCAAAGATGGTGTTCTTGATATTATTGATGAAAATAGTAGTTTTGATCATACAAAGAGTTTGATCGTAAAAGAAAAGTGTTTTGCTTAAGAGCTTTTTGTAGTCTAAAATCTAGAGCGATATTGCTTGTTTTTCCTGCGAGAGTCTTGAGTCTCTTTATATAAGGATGATAAACCGCCTCTCCAGCGATATTCTCGGAAGATTTCCATTTATCTTGAAGTCGGCTTAGAATATCGCGGATTAGGATAGTTTCCTTTTTCTTCAGGGTTTTCGGAAGTTTTCCTAATTTGAGTTGATCCTTCGAGATTCTTCCTTATCATTTCCGGGTATTTCGAAAATGATGCCTTGCTTGGAAATGGTATTTTTGAAGGTGAATATTTTACTAAGTCCTTGCCTCGGATGATTGATGAATTTGCCTCGGGTAGTCTGGAAACTTCCTGGTGTATTTGGCTCGGGGAGACGGCGTAACACAAGTCACTTCTCTAATAACTACACCCTTATCCTTCAACCACGTGTCTTAAGTCTTAAATTATGTAATTTCACTTTTTTCTTTTTTTTACACTAATTTACTATTAAAATCAAAATTGACTTTTCCCCCTCACCCCTCCCCCCACCACCACCCACGATCTCTTGCTTCCCCTACAAAAAAAAAAAAACTTCCACATCTTTTTTTTTTTAAATTATGTTTTCCTGCAACTTTTCTCGAAATAAAATTTTTTAAAAAATTTCAAAGATTTTGTTTCCTTCTAATTTACACAATAACTAGGTTTCTCATCCCGACAATGAAATTAGTTTTCTTTTACCTTGCAATATATCTTCAATAGAGAAACTAATGCTATTTTCGCCCGTGCAGAGCACGGGTCAAACACTAGTGGGAAATAAGCAGTCACAAGGCCGTATAATTTACCTCTTTTGCCCTTTGCAAGTGGGTGATGCTTAATAGACCAAGATATCACGATGGACCGAGCCCAAACTCTTTTTTTTGTGGGCTTAATTCGATTTGGGTCAGACTTTTGGATGGGGCGAAACCCATGTCGAAACAGTAAGTATCCCCCTCCTTTTGTTTAGTTGGACAATCCAGCTCGTCAGCTTGGCACGAATTTGAGTTTGGCCATTTGGAGGGAATTTTGAAAAGCTGGATGTTTCACCATTTTGGGTTATTTGTTTATATAATTTTTAACTAATATGCAATTTTATATGATATGTTTCTAAATATACTATTATATAATAGCGCTATTGTTTAGTTATAATAGTTGATATTTTAACATATATCTATTAACAAAACTATATCTGATATTCTAAAACCATTTATTTTCTCTTGTGGATCAAATATCAGCATATAAAAACTTTGAAAACCTTGGAATAAACTGTATGTCGAATACACTTTTACTAACATTTATTAGTCATTTAAATTAAAAGTATTGTGAGAAAAATGATTTTTTATATAAATAAAATAATAGTTTTCATATACAATATGAGTTAGGCTTTTAAAATTTTCATAATAAAATATATTTATACTAATAAATAGTTAGTCCTTTTAATTTATTTGGCTTAAAACTATATATGTCAATTTGAACCTCATACTCATTAATAATTTGGTTTAGGATATCGAAATAAGATAAAATTAATCATCTGTTTCTTATATTGAATTGGTTATCGTTACTTGTATTTAGTTTTTTTTGTTATATTTGAAACGTTGATAGAAACCATTAACTTTAAGTTTTGTAGTATTTTTTTATTGTCAAAATTTTTAATTGCCATTAAATATTACGTTAACTTTATGGTTGTTTTTATACTTACGTTTTAATTTCAATGACCTATATATAGGTTAGATAATTTCATGTTTCAAATGACAAATACAAATCATTGTTTCTTACATTTGTTTTTCATAAAATAAGAATAATTCTTGTATATTTTAAGCGGAAGTAGATATGTCTAAATTTAGCTCTCAGATTACTACGCTATTCATCGTTGTAGCTTTGGTGTGTGCGTTTGTTCCGGTTTTCTCAGTCGAAGAAGCTGAAGCAAAATCATTATGGAATACTTGTCTTGTTAAAATCACACCTAAGTGTGCGTTGGATATAATTGCTGTTGTCTTTGAAAATGGAACCATCTCTGATCCTTGCTGCAACGATCTCGTCAAAGAAGGGAAAATGTGTCACGATACACTTATTAAATATATTGCAGATAAACCCATGTTAATTGCCCACGAAACAGAATACTTGAAGAAGAGTGATGACTTGTGGAATCATTGTGTCTCAATCTCCAAAAGTACTTGAACTTTGTATTGTTTGTACTATATTTACTGAATAAATTGAGATTTCTCTGTTGTTAGATTTCTCTTACCACAAACATTTATATTTTCACTTTACTACAATATTCACTAAAGGGAATTCTCTCTGAAAAAGAAGAACTTAAATTTATTATTTTCTATTTGAACTTTTAAACAAAGTTTTCTATTATGAATCGAATAATAATATAAAAATTTAAATATTAAGAGTAGCTCTAAATATTATTGAGTGAATTTTAAATTTTGTATTTTTTTTAGAGTAATATGTTTTGGATTATGCAAAAACGTTTACCATTTTTTCCTCAAAGCATTTATAGAACATAATTTTTATAGACTCAAAAACAACTAATATACATTATCTTTAGTCTTTAAGTCAATAACTATATATCAAGACCTCATAAAAATGACCTAAACGTTTTCACGGAGATTTTTAATTTGACTTTCAATTTGAATATGATATATATTAAATCCTTTGATTTTACAAATATTCATAGCAGAAATATGCATTTCCCAATGGATCTGTTAGGTCACATGTATCTTAATTAGTGTAAAATCATATAAAATTATTAGTGATAAAAGCTAGTAGTGATAAAAACTAGTTAGATATTTATATAAGCTCCTTTACCATTCAACTTGAATCTTTCGTTAATATATAAATTTAAAACAATTGATTAGATTCTACGTAGTGGTATATATTCTTAACATATCATAACAATTAGATCCTAATTATCATGTATCTTTTGATATGTTAGGATTCACTTTTTTTGAAAAGATGGATGTTTCACCATTTTGGGTTATTTGTTTCTATAATTTTTTACCGATATGCAATTTTAAATGATATGTTTTTAAATATACTATTATATAATAGCTATTGTTTAGTTATAATAGTTGATTCTTTAACATATATCTATTAACAAAACTATATCTGATATTCTAAAACTATTTATTTGCTCTTGTGGATCTCATATAAGCATATAATTAAAAACTTTGAAAACCTTCGAATAAATTGTATGTCGAATACACTTTTATTAACATTTATTAGTCATTTAGATTAAAAGTATTGGGAAAAATTGATTTTTTATATAAATAAAATAATAGTTTTCAGATATAATATGATTTAAGCTTTTAAAAATTTCATAATTAATAATATTTATACTTATAAATAGTTAGTCCTTTAATTTATTTAGCTTAAAACTGTATATGTCAATTTGAACCTCATACTCATTAATAATTTGGTTTAGGATATCGAAATAAGATAAAATTAATCATCTGTTTCTTATATTGAATTGGATATCGTTACTTGTATTTAGTTTTTTTTGTTATATTTGAAACGTTGATAGAAACCTTTAACTTTATGTTTTGTAGTATGTTTTGGGATACAATATGCGAGAATCCTCAAAGAACAACAGAAAGAGCGATGACCAAAGATGGTGTTCTTGATATTATTGATGAAAATAGTAGTTTTGATCATACAAAGAGTTTGATCGTAAAAGAAAAGTGTTTTGCTTAAGAGCTTTTTGTAGTCTAAAATCTAGAGCGATATTGCTTGTTTTTCCTGCGAGAGTCTTGAGTCTCTTTATATAAGGATGATAAACCGCCTCTCCAGCGATATTCTCGGAAGATTTCCATTTATCTTGAAGTCGGCTTAGAATATCGCGGATTAGGATAGTTTCCTTTTTCTTCAGGGTTTTCGGAAGTTTTCCTAATTTGAGTTGATCCTTCGAGATTCTTCTTTATCATTTCCGGGTATTTCGAAAATGATGCCTTGCTTGGAAATGGTATTTTTGAAGGTGAATATTTTACTAAGTCCTTGCCTCGGATGATTGATGAATTTGCCTCGGGTAGTGTGGAAACTTCCTGGTGTATTTGGCTCGGGGAGACGGCGTAACACAAGTCACTTCTCTAATAACTGCACCCTTATCCTTCAACCACGTGTCTTAAGTCTTAAATTATGTACTTTCACTTTTTTCTTTTTTCTTACACTAATTTACTATTAAAATCAAAATTGACTTTTCCCCATCACCCCTCCCCCCACCACCACCCACGATCTCTTGCTTCCCCTACAAAAAAAAAAAAAAACTTCCACATCTTTTTTTTTAAAATTATGTTTTCCTGCAACTTTTCTCGAAATAAAATTTTTTAAAAAATTTCAAAGATTTTCTTTCCTTCTAATTTACACAATAACTAGGTTTCTCATCCCGACTATGAATTAGTTTTCTTTTACCTTGCAATATATCTTCAATAGAGAACTAATGCTATTTTCGCCCGTGCAGAGCACGGGTCAAACACTAGTGGGAAATTAGCGGTCACAAGGCCGTATAATTTACCTCTCTTTGCCCTTTGCAAGTGGGTGATGCTTAATAGACCTAGATATCACGATGGACCGAGCCCCAACTCTTTTTTTTGTGGGCATAATTCGATATGGGTCACACTTTTGGATGGGGCGCAACCCCTGTCGCGACAGTGAGAGTCCCCCTCCTCTTGTGTAGATGGAGCAATACAGCTCGTCACCGTGGCTCGTCGATCTGCATGACCCTCTGGAGAGAATTTTGCTTAGATGGATGTTTCACCATTTTGGGTTATTTGTTTATATAATTTTCAACTAATATGCAATTTTATATGATATGATTCTAACTATTCAATTATATAATAGCGCTATTGTTTAGTTATAATAGTTGATATTTTAACATATATCTATTAACAAAACTATATCTGATATTCTAAAACCATTTATTTTCTCTTGTGGATTAAATATCAGCATATAAAAACTTTTAAAACCTTGGAATAAACTGTATGTCGAATACACTTTTACTAACATTTATTAGTCATTTAAATTAAAAGTATTGTGAGAAAAATGATTTTTTATATAAATAAAATAATAGTTTTCATATACAATATGAGTTAGGCTTTTAAAATTTTCATAATTAATTATATTTATACTAATAAATAGTTAGTCCTTTTAATTTATTTGGCTTAAAACTATATATGTCAATTTGAACCTCATACTCATTAATAATTTGGTTTAGGATATCGAAATAAGATAAAATTAATCATCTGTTTCTTATATTGAATTGGTTATCGTTACTTGTATTTAGTTTTTTTTGTTATATTTGAAACGTTGATAGAAACCATTAACTTTAAGTTTTGTAGTATTTTTTTTTGTCAAAATTTTTAATTGCCATTAAATATTACGTTAACTTTATAGTTTTTTTTATAGTTACGTTTTAATTTCAATGACCTATATATAGGTTAGATAATTTCATGTTTCAAATGACAAATACAAATCATTGTTTCTTACATTTGTTTTTCATAAAATAAGAATAATTCTTGTATATTTTAAGCGTAAGTAGATATGTCTAAATTTAGCTCTCAGATTACTACGCTATTCATCGTTGTAGCTTTGGTGTGTGCGTTTGTTCCGGTTTTCTCAGTCGAAGAAGCTGAAGCAAAATCATTATGGAATACTTGTGTTGTTAAAATCACTCCTAAGTGTGCGTTGGATATAATTGCTGTTGTCTTTGAAAATGGAACCATCTCTGATCCTTGTTGCAACGATCTCGTTAAAGAAGGGAAAATGTGTCACGATACACTTATTAAATATATTGCAGATAAACCCATGTTAATTGCCCACGAAACAGAATACTTGAAGAAGAGTGATGACTTGTGGAATCATTGTGTCTCAATCTCCAAAAGTACTTGAACTTTGTATTGTTTGTACTATATTTACTGAATAAATTGAGATTTCTCTGTTGTTAGATTTCTCTTACCACAAACATTTATATTTTCACTTTACTACAATATTCACTAAAGGGAATTCTCTCTGAAAAAGAAGAACTTAAATTTATTATTTTCTATTTGAACTTTAAAACAAAGTTTTCTATTAGGAATCGAATAATAATATAAAAATTTAAATATTAAGAGTAGCTCTAAATATTATTGAGTGAATTTTAAATTTTGTATTTGTTTTTTAGAGTAATATGTTTTGGATTTCAAAAACGTTTACCATTTTTTCCTCAAAGCATTTATAGAACATAATTTTTATAAACTCAAAAACAATTAATATACATTATCTTTAGTCTTTAATTCAATAACTATATATCAAGACCTCATAAAAATAACCAAAACGTTTTCACGGAGATTTTTAATTCGACTTTCATTTTGAATATGATATATATTAAATCCTTTGATTTTACAAATATTCATAGCAAAAATATGCATTTCTCAATGGATCTGTTAGTTCACATGTATCTTAATTAGTGTAAAATCATATAAAATTATTAGTGATAAAAGCTAGTAGTGATAAAAACTAGTTAGATATTTATATAAGCTCCTTTACCATTCAACTTGAATCTTTCGTTAATATATAAATTTAAAACAATTGATTAGATTCTACGTAGTGGTATATATTCTTAACATATCATAACAATTAGATCCTAATTATCATGAATCGTTCGACCTGGTAGGACCCATTTGCTTGGAAAAGATGGATGTTTCACCACTTTGGGTAATGTGTACATATAATATTTCACCGAGATGCTACTTTAAATGACATATTATGAAATATGCTATTATATA